ACAGTATATCTTTTACATTATACACTGTCCTTTCTCTTGGTGTATTCACAGGATAGGCTAGTTCTTTAGGATCAATAACTAACTCTTTTACCTCTAGACTGGGACAGGATTCTTTATAAACACTCATTACCTCTCCTATCACATATCTTCTTAGAGACACCATATTGTCACTGTAACCTTTCTCACAGGACATCATTACTAGTACACACTGGCTCTCATTCACGATCTCTACCAGTGATCCTACACCATGACCATTAAACCAATAAAGTCCATTCTTCCAAAATGTACAGTAACGATTTAACTTGTCATTTTTCTGAGGTAGAGCCATTTTATAAGCAAGACGTAATGAGAGGACATGGAAGTATCGAGGAGGAAAGAAATGGTGTTTACTAGTACACTGTAGACACCAACCAAACTGGTACACTTGACTAATCATCTCATCAGGTCTATCAGTAGACAAAAGACATGGAAAGAACAACAACCTTTCTCCTCTTCTTTCTGTCCCTCCCTCCTCCTCCTCCTCTTCCACTGCTAACTGATGGAGGTTTGTCATTCTTAGGAAAGATGGATCATTCATTTGTTGACAAAGTTCCATGTTCTTGAGGAAACAGATCAACATGTGAGGATCATATTTAGGGAAGAGTCTAGTCAGACCAGACACAGTAACAATACCAGTATTGCTAGCAATGTCAACGTGTTCTTTGAATGTCTCTGGAGCAAAGAGAATTCCATTTACCTCAGTTAGCAGTATACCCTTATTCACAACAACCCATACCTTGTCTTCACTTTTAAGAACACTGATCAAACCAGTTGAGTGCAATGAATCAAGAACATCCAAGACATCTTCTCTATTATTTGGTATAAAGTAATCATCATTGTTCTTACCAGCAGACATTACATCAGAGAGGGTGAGTATATTCTCTTTCCTTTCCTCCAGTAGACCATACATCATGTGACAATAAAGATTCAAATTTCTTCCACTTGTACTACGAATGGACTCACAGGCACTAGACACTTTATTAAAGAAGGAATTCATACCACTCCCACCATGCTTACGACAATCTAAGAAGACACTATCACATTTTTCCCTTACAATAATCTCTTGTATTTCTTCCTTTCTCCTTCTCCTTTCAAAAGGATTAGTAAATATCTCATCCACATGACTGACTATTACAATAACATGGCATTGATTAAGAGCTTTTTGTGTTTCATTTCTGACAACTGTTAGCCACTGATGAAGCTGTTTGACTGGTTCCTTTTCCAATATATTGACTACTATCAGGAACACACCACTAGAACCTTGTAAGAGATTCTCAATGACAGCAGTGTGACTGGAGTAGTATTTGGAATGACCAGCAAAATCATGAAGAATGATGTTACCCAGTGTCCTGTGTTTTAGTTTATAAGGAATGATACCAGCAGTACAGGGCACTACCCCTCCAACATTTCTAAAGGAACCAAGAACAATAGAACCAGTAGCTGTGTCATTGATGACATGACTAAGAGTACTTTTACCAGCTCCAGGATTACCCACACTGAGGATGCTAACATAAGAATCAATTGAATGAGATGATTTTATATCACCAAACTTCTTAAAGAAAGGAAGAGTATTTTTACCCCAGCCTCTCTGCTTTGCCTCTTTAGCTAGTTGTAATGGTGTATTTCCATAATTGTCTTTAGCCAATGGATCACATTTACCAGTTGATAGTAAACATTCAACAGCTTTAGAATCACCCCAATGAGCAGCATTGTGAAGTGGTGTCCACCCCCTCCTGTCAACAATCGTTGGATCACAGTTACACTCATTGATTAGATATTTGATTACATCAGGCGAGTTGTACTCAGCAGCTGCTTTATGAAGAGCAGTCTCACCTTTGTTTTCAGTAGCCATTGGATCACAGTGACACTCATTAATGAGATATCTCATCACATCAACATGATTGCCATCTGCAGCATAATGAAGACAAGTCTCACCTGTACTATCTCTTTCCTGTGGGTCACAGTGATATTTAGTGATGAGATCTTTTGTAACATCTAACCAGCCATTCCTTGAAGACAAATGAAGTAAACTTGTATTATTCCATACTATTTTTTTAATTTTATTTGGTTCCTTCACTAATGGTAGTAAGTGAACAGCTTTTTTGTGATCTCCTTTCCTAAAAGCATCCCAGCACTTGTCCTCTAATGACATCTTGTGATCAGTTATTAGATTCATTGTTACCATATTAGGAATAGAAATTCGTTATTCATACACTATACACACACCCCATGATTATCATTAACTAAGGTGAAGGGGAGAGGAAATAAAAAGGATAATATGCACACCTACAGCCTCAGCAATCTGCTTAATATTTATAGAAATAAAATTAATAATAACAGTTTTAAATTTAAACAACATATTAAAAGAGATCATGTAGTTATCTTTTTTCTCTAAAGTCTCATTATTTTTAATATCATAGTTTTTGCCCAATCCTTTCCGGCAATCATCATTGCTGATCATACATTATTAATTGACTTAGTGTTCACACTTCTCTGGAGGTTTTTGTGTATTATCATTTCTTTTCATTTGAAACTTGTGGAAAACCTTGTAGCTTGTAACTGATTAACAAACTCATGGAGTAATTTGACCATTTTACACATGTTCTAAGAGTTTAATCAAATTCAATTCCAGTATCAATGTAATGTTAGGATGAGTTAATAATTATTGTAAATCCATTTGCTGGTAACTTGTTGATTGGATCTAATCTTTGTATCACTCTTGTGATGTCAGTAATATATTGCACAATAGGTGTTAACCCATGACATGAAGTTATAATCATTGGCTTGTTATAAGTGTTACTGTCAGTGTCAGTGGTTTGCTAGAACAAGTTATGCTGTTAATTGTTAATCATGTCTTGCACAATTATAAGTGTTAACCAATGGTCAGTGGCATGCTACAGCAAGTATAAGATTGTCTACATGAAGCTCATTTGTAGAGGTGGGCGATACCAGAAATTTTGAATCGATACTGATACCAAGTAGTCTGAGTATCAGTATGAGTGGATCGAGTACTGAATGAGTAGTCAGGTACTGCACATGAGCAAATAAGTTATAACTAGTTATTGACTGCCATTTTTGTAATTATAAAAGGGTGTGGTCGGTGTGATCAGTGTGGTCACTGCTCTACATGATACCAGGATTTGGTATCAAGTACTTGGTACCGGAGGCCTGGTATCAGATAAATGAATACTTTGGTATCGTATCGCCCACCTCTACTCATTTGAGTCATTTCACTCCACAGAATTTACAGTGATGCATGCGTCCTATCACCATCCTTGCCACTCCTTCCGCTGATTTTGATTAAATTTGGATTTTTTAGAAATTTTTAAAGTTCCTCCCCATCAATATCAATGATTCATATTAGTTATTAATAATTATTAATTATTCTCCTCTCAATAGGCTCCAGTCTTGATACACTAACAGTACTTGGTTCTCATAAAGCTGACCTCATTCCACTAACTAATGACAGTTCTTTAATGCACCTCACTCTTCACTCCTCCTCATCATAGCAACAATCTCTGGCTCTCTCATCAGTCTTCAGTTGAATGCCGTCCTTTTTAAATGGCCACTGCAGTTCACTCTCACTGAGGACGGGATTGTGTGTATCCTAATTAATGCCCCATGCACATTCCTTAGCCTTGGGCTTTTTTATAAAATGGCTAAAAAAATTACTTCCAATTTTTATTACATTTTCTGATACATATTGATGTACTTATGCTATGTAGAAAGTTTGAGCTGATTTCGAATTAAATTTTTTGTATTACAGCCATTTAAAGAAATTGGCTAAAATCTGAAAATTACCCAGGGCTATAATAGCCCATAGTTTTTTCTGAAAAATGGCTAAAAGATCACCCTCAATTTTTATTAAATTTTCTGATACATATTGATGTCCTTATGCTGTGTATAAAGTTTGAGCTGATCCCAACTTCAATTTTTAGAGTTATTGCCATTTTTAAAAAATTGCCAAAATTTTAAAAATATCCAAGGCTCCCATGGTTTTTTCAAAAAATGGCTAAAATATAACCCTCAATTTTTATTAAATTTCCTGATACGTATTGATGTCCTTATGCTGTGTAGAAAGTTTGAGCTGATTCTGACTTAAATTTTTCAAATTACGGCCATTTTAAGAAATTTGCCAAAATGCGAAAAATACCCAAGGCTATAGCCCATGGTTTTTTCCAAAAAATGGCTAAAAGATCACCCTCAATTTTTATTAAATTTTTGATACGTATTGATGTCCTTATGCTGTGTAGAAAGTTTGAGCTGATTCCGACTTGAATTTTTCAAGTTGTTGCCATTTTAAGCAAAGGCCGAAATCTGAAAAATGCCCAAGACTTATGCATGTGTATAATGATTCTCCTTTCTTTCTCTATCCTCTCCTTTCTTATTATTATTTTTCTCCTTGAGCTATGTACATGTACATGTACATTAATCATTAATAATGTACAATTATGATCCTTAACTTCATTATTATCCAGTGGTCTACAGTGTCTCTAATGCTATGATCATTGCTGCCATTCATCCACTGGAATACTGTAGAATGTTTAGCTATAACACTCCAGGTAAATATTTGTGACCATAATTGACAAAAGGGCCCTTATGGCGGATTTAAAAAATGATTGTTATAATGGAAAATATCAACCTGTGAGTGCTTTGTTAGACAATCATTGTTTCTAAAAGTTTCATGGTAACTTTTTGCATCCTGTGGAGTAATATTATGATGAATGGGGCTCAGGAAGTTGGATTTCTTAGGCTAGAAAGACAAATTTCACTACCCGCCATAAGGTACCTTTTGTCAATTATGGTCACATTTACAATTTTATGATAAAATATAAATTAAAATACCTCCTATTCTGCCCATGTTTAGATGGTCCCTCTCTCTCTTACAAACTCTGTCTTTGTCATCATTTCATAAAATCTGGGTCTCTCCTGATCTAGGAGTGTCTCTTAATTCATTGGATCAATGTTCCCTCCCACTCAATGCACTGGAGACTGGAACTGAGACATAGTGTCATTCTTCCTTAGGAATAGAGGTAAATGATACTATTTATAGTAAGACTGATACTATTTATAGTACAATGCTATTGATTGAGACTATGCTATTGTAGTATATGATATATCATTGTCTATTGTAGTAATTGATACTATTTATAGTAACGATGCTAGTGTACACGTTTGGTAGTGATGTAGTAATTCAAAAATTGTCCATTGCACAAAAATTTGTTGTCGGAATGAACTCAAACTTTTTTATTAGCAACAGACAGACAGACGTAAATAGCAATAATGATGTATATTGGTTTGCTTGGCTCGTCCCCTTAATGTTTTACATTCATCTTGTAATAATGTATCATTAATAATAATAATAGTTATAAGCAGAACAAAATACAATACTATAGGCAGCCATCTAAACAAATAATAGAAAATAATAATTTCAATAAACAAAAGAACTAGGCAATTAACTGGTTTGATGTACAATATTTATCTCTAATATTAGTAGCAATAGATTTCTCTTCTATTGTATCCAGTGCTGTAGCTAATGACGACCAACTGGGACCTCCTTTCTCTCTCACTTTATCTTCTCCTCTTAACCAGGCGGACATACACTGTATCAGACATGGCTTGCATTCTCCATGATCCTTCTTAATAGCATTTAGTGTTGGATCATATAATCCTAAGTGAAGTCCAAACTCATACCAGTTA